CTCTGAACTCATGATAAACAGACAGGCCTGTAGCTACCTTGGTAAGCAGTTATTCAGAATCTTCTACTCTTTCTTTGAGAGTAGCTAAAAAGTTCACAAAAGTTTGGCATTTTCATTTGGAAATATACTTCACAAAAACATCAACAGCACAGAAAAAAAAAAAAAACTTATTGAAGACCCAACATAGGCCTTAAGATTTGATTTTCTACAATGGGTCTGTGTTCTCTGGGAGTCAATATCAGCTCTTCTGAGACCCTGCATTGTCTTGTTCTGGGCTCCCAGACTTCTATTTGGGAAATTACTGTTTTAGGTTGGGATGTAAATGGTGTTTCTAGAAGCCTGAGCAAGTTAGTGCATCTTCCTTATGCTAAACACCTCTCCACTCGGGAGGAACTTCAGCAAGGAGGCCACACCCTTCCTGGTTAAAACACACAACCTTTATTGGTTCAGAAGGAGTGCATATTACATCTCCATACTTTTGTTATTAGGTAATAGAGAAATTAGAGGAAATGCAAGGAACTCAGTAGTCGCTGGTGTTTTCTGGGATATTAGATAGAGTTATGAAGTTATAAATTGTAAAATCAGAATGGAGATTTGCATAGCTTTCCTTCACCTGTGAAGCCAAAGCTGTTTACATGCAGTTATTTTGAGAAAATTGCATTTGGGATTTTATTTTTTACTTTTTAAAAAGAATCTACGAACTTAAAAAAGTGTTTTGATTGTAAGAAATAGCATCTGTTGAATTAGACTTATTTTAGGTATGGCTGAACATTTTTATATGGTCTTCCCAGGTGTTATTAGATAAAGAACTTAAGTTAATGTAGTATGCTAAATTATAATGAAGAAAGTATTTTTTAAGAAAATATTTTTAAATTCCCATCTTATAATCTACAAACTTAAAAAAGTGTTTTGATTGTAAGAAATGACATCTGTTGAATTAGACTTATTTTAGGTATAGCTGAACATTTTTACATGGTCTTCCCAGGTGTTATTAGATAAAGAACTTAAGTTAATATAGTATGCTAAAATATAATGAAGAAAGTATTTTTTAAGAAAATATTTTTAAATTCCCATCTTATACTAATGGATAGTTGTGAATCTATGGCTTAAATATCTTTTCACTTTATAACATGTACTTATATATAAAGAAAGAAACTAATGAATAGGGAGTCTGGATGAACTTGCAGAATATTTAAAAACACATGTAAGTCAATCAGGGTTTACTACCATAGGGGAATTTTTTCTCTTCAAAGTATTTTGATAGCTTTTAACATCAGCACTGGATAGGTCTATGTTGAGATAAAGAACAAATCATTTTTTAAGTCACTGGTTCACAGTGAAATGAAGTGCAGCTTGGTTTGGTCTGTTTCTCTCAGTGTGATTCACAAGTGTACCCCAAAGCCCCCAATCTTCTCCAGATCTGTCCTAGCTATGAATGACACCTAGAGAATTCAACATAATCATGTGTAATGTATGACTGAATGTATCACAGTAGACATTAAGAGCTTTCTGGGGCTGTAATATGAAGCCTGCCACAGCTCATGGCTTGAAGATCAAAACAAAAAAGTGCAAAACCAAGTTGTTTTTGTCTAGACTTTATTATATAGCTATAAAAATGACTGAGTGCGTGTGTGCATGCATGAGCACACACACATACACACATATGGGGGAGGGGAGAGAGGGGAGTGAGGTTGCTCTGTAACACTACACCACAGAATTATAATAAAGTATATTTATCTGGAAACTTCTCTATTCTCTTTTCTTTACCCATTTTCTGATTTATATCTTATGAGTTAGTGAAGGCATATTCTAGGTGTCTTCTTTTGTCTTGGAGGACTGAGGTTTTCATTAACGTATGGAGGTGTAATTTATATAGCCCTTCCTCTGTTTGAAGTATACAGCTGAGTGGTTTTCTGTACATTCCCAGATGAGAACTTTTACCCTTTAAGGATATCTTCATCACCTACAAAAGACATCCGTACCTCAGAGTCAGCACATCTCAGCTCCCCATCTTTCCAAGCCCTGGAAACCATGAATCCGCTTTCTCTGTTTAAGGATTTGCACATCCTAGACACTATATAAATGAGTCATACAACTGTGGTCTTTACTACCTGTCTCCCTGTCAATCTGCACAATGCTGTTAAGACTCCTCACTTTGTAGCATATATCAGGGCTTTGTTCTATTTTATGGTCAAGTGCCATTCCATCATACAGATGCAGTGCGCATTCTCTACCCATTCATTCATCACAAGATGAACATATTTAAGAGGGTCATTTTTGATAGAAAAAAAGTAAAAATGAAAGCATCCTCTTTTCTGTATCATGAAGTGAAACATCCATCACTTTCATTATAGGTAGAGGAATCACATCAAATATGAAGACCGGTATCCTACTTATGTTCCTATGGGGGTTATCCTGTGCCCTCCCGGTAAGTATGATGCTAGAGATATTATCAGTGGCTATAAACCAGGTGGTTGTGTATGCTCAGTAAGATGAGAGTAATAGTCACTTGTTTAGGAAGCTGTTTTCTTTAAACATTGGTCAAGTTATTTCTTATTATGTTCACTTCCATTCATACATGTATGATTCTCAACTTCTACCTCATAGCAGTGGTCTTCAAAGTGTCACCCCTGAGTTGCAGAATCAATGTTGACTAGGCCTCTGTTAGAAATTCTCATTCTTGAATCCTATCTCAGATTCACTACCCAGATTCTCTAAGAATGGACACAGGAAGCTGAGTGTTAGCAAGGCACCCAGATGGTCCTGAGGTGGGCTAGAAGTCAACTATCACTGCTCCCCAGTATGTGAAGGGTTAGAAAATGCTGCCTTGAAAATTTCCCTGTGGGTTTATTGTGTTTATTCTTCTTTCTAGGTTGCCAGACATCAAAATACTGAATCTGAGAGCTCAGAAGAATGGCCGGTGGGTAGAAAACAAAACTCTTTGAAATGTTTTAATTTTAGTATGTGATTAGTATAACCTAGTTGACTCAATGGCAAATGATAAAAACTGGTGATAACTTAAGAGCATAAAAATACCTAAGCTGTAAGTAGTAAGAACGATGGCTCTTAGTTCGTATAAGAAAATAATTTTTCAATTCCTACATGGTGTAATTTGATGAGGAAACCATTCTTATAATGATGGATACCATGGCCCAGGGGGTGACTAACAATGAGCCAGCTGTTCTTGGGAGATCAAAACTTCAAGTCTGCAAACAAGAGCTGTCTGGAAGGCAAGGAGTGGAGAGCCCAGTAATGAGGAAAGAGGATGAAGAGATTGGAGTCCTTGTCATGATGGTGATGTTTCCTGAGTGCTGAACTCTCAGTCACTCCATAGTTGCCAACTGCCAGTCACTCAAGAAGCACCACCAGGCAGAGTTCTATTTTGGATAAAACCCAATTCTCATTTTCCTATTGGCATAATGAACTAGGCATGTTTTATTTCTACTGTATTCAGCAGAAATGGACGCTCTGGGATTAATGTAGTCTGTCCAGGTTATATGCTTAATAAACATTAGAGGTGGACCTAAAATTCATGACACTGTGACTGAAGGGTTGACATTTTTACTTCGAATGATAGATGCTCCCAACCCAAGAAGCCAGGGCCAGGAAGTCTGAAGTTCTAGAGACTGGCACTGCAGGTCAAGGTTAAACACGAACTCAGAGAGCTTTGTTCATTGCTTTGCTTCCTGTTGGCTTTTTCATAGGATGCAGTTTGGGTCCAATGCTCTCAATACAAAGTCAGAAGCCTGGAGTTGGGTCCTGCCCTGCCTAGGGCGAGGATAGACATTGCAGGATATACTGTGAACCTTTGTCCACACGCCAGTAGCAATGGTCCCCTTTATATTTAGTGTCTTGGACATGTTACATAGGACTTTTCTGTGTTTAAGGAAAAGGAGAAGAGCTGAGATGGCGGGGAAGGGGGACAGGGCAGAACTCGCTCACTGATTCTTAGGCTTCTTATGAGGCTGAGGAAAGTGAAAGAAATCACGACTATGACTGTTGTGGTTACATTTAACCTTTGCCTTCCATGTCATTGTCCTCTGTAGACTGCACAAAGGGTTTAATGGCTTTCTAAATTTAATTTGTCTATTCTTGAATTTTGTAAGGTGGAAGGAAATATTCAAAATGAGTTGTTTCTTTGGTCTATATCACACCGAATAGTACTAAAGATGTTCCCATGCAAATGGCTGAGTCCACTCTCATAGCCACCTCATAGTATCATGATACTTTTTAAATGTATGAATAAGGAAGGAACTGACAGTCAGTTGAAGAGAGCTGCCCACACTTTAGTATATGAGCAGTATTCTAATTACCCGAGCGTTAAGAGGCTCCTGGACACATAACTGTCAATGCCAACACCAGGATGGCTGCTTTTAAGGTCAAAAAACGAGGAAGCAGTGAGTTAACTGAGATGAACTCTGGATTCTGAGTCCCAGTGTTGTCCTATATTATATTTCCTTTGGTTGTAGGAGCAGCCAACTTCAGAGCAGACATAGTGGGCGAAGTGTCAGAAATACAGAAACCTCCCATGTCTATTTCAACATATCTCAGGTTATTACATACTTTTCCTCAGCTTTTAGACATTTTATCATAATATGAGCATATGATACATCCCCCTCAAATTTAAAAATCACCTGAAATTATTCTAAATATTTGCAGCAACATAACTACTTCCGAAGAATAACTGGCTTTCCTTCCTTTACACAGGGCGATTTGGCTCCATCACCACCACCACCCATGGTAAATATTTCACTTATTTTTGTCATAAGTGTCTCATGAAGTAACTTTAATACCCTCTCCCCTTTCACCATTCTGAAAGTAATAAATATAAATGTCAAGCTAGTGATTTGTATAATATTTTTCCTTGGGAATTACAAAGGAAAGTAAACATTTTTCTTTTCCCTTTCAGAACAGTGAGTCATCCGACGAGAGTAAAGTTAGCTCAGAGGAACAGGTAATTAAACAGGCTTCCTCAGCTTCTCCGGCTACTTAGGAATCGAAGGAAAATGATGGGAGATTAAATTACCTGGCAACAGTTCTAAATATAATGTTTTCTAACCATTGGTTATGCAGAATAAACAATCCCATAAAATAAAAAAGGAAAAATGAGAGAAGGAAATTCAAATGTGAACGTGCTGTTCATTCCATTTTTATCATTTGAGACATTGTGTCCCTAAATGCCCCTCTTAGTTAAAAAAGAAAAAGAAAAAAAGACAAAACAAGGGGAAGAAAAAACAAACCAACTAACACACACACACACTGCATACACTGATCATGTTAGATGAGTAATGACAAATAAAAACAACTGCTTTAGGGGTGCCTATCTCTTTAAGATAATCCCAACATGGTCCTGGGGGATAAGAAAGGCAGAAAGCTAATATCTTTTATTTAAAAGTATCTCGTGTGTGTGTGTGTGTGTGTGTGTGTGTGTGTGTGTGTGTTGTGTATTGGGGATGAAAGCCAGGGGCTCACACTTGGTAAGCAAGGGCTCTACCACTGAGTAATCTCCTTAGCTATGTCCTATCATTATGCACAAACGGTCCTGTGAGTACACCAGCAAATGCAGGAATGTGGTTCTTTCTGAAGTGCAGGCTCCCTTTGTACCCTACACAGGTCTAGGAGGTGAGTCATTAGCCTGCTTATCTTTATTTACTAAATATTCATCAGAGAACATTATAGAAATTCAAAACCATAGCATTTGGAAAAATGCCCCTTTCGAGGAGAATTTGTGATTTATTGACTCAGTATTCTCATTTCTCAAGGGAGGATAGAAACTACTGGTTGAGAAAGGTGTGATGTATAATTCTGATGGAGGGTAGGGTTGCAGCATTGAGGGTTATGCCATACAAAATAGAAAGTAGTTAGGTATGGTGGCTCATGCCTCTAATTCCAACATTCAAGTAGTTGAGGCAGGAGGATCATCGTAAGTCTAAGTCCAGCTTGGGCTACACAGTAAGTTTAAGGTCAGCATGGGTTACAGGATAAAAGAGTGTTGAGAGAGAGAGAGAGAGAGAGAGAGAGAGAGAGAGAGAGAGAGAGAGAGAGAGAGAGAGAGAGAGAGAGAGAGAGAGAGAGAGAGAGAGAGGATGGGGGAGACACACACACACACACACACACACACACACACACACGGGGCGGGGGGAGAATTCCCTTGAGTTTCAACCTGTTCTTCCTTCTCCTTCCTTTTCATTTAAGTTCTGATAGTGATTGGGACATATGATGGAAAAGCAGAAAGAGCCCATCTCTAGATAGCTTCTCTCTCCATCAGCTCCTGGACACTGACCATAGCTGTTTACCTCGATTTCAGACAAACGACAATCCCAGTGACAGCACTGAGTCTCAAGAGGATGTGGACTCTGACGGTGACCAGTATGCTCATAGACCCGCTGGCGGCCTCTCTAAGAGTGTGGGGACAGAAGCTGATAAGGAAGATGATGAAGATGACAGTGGAGATGACACCTTTGGTGACGAGGACAATGGTCCAGGGCCTGAATGGGGAGGACGCTCCAGACAGGACAGTGATGAGGACTCTGCAGACAACACACAATCCAGTGAAGAGAGCACCTCACAAGAAAACAATGCCAAAGATACCCCCAGTGACAGCAGGGACCATGACAGTGAGGAGGAAGCAGACAGCCGACCTGAAGCAGGTGACTCCACTCTGGACAGTGAGAGTGAGGAACACTGGGTAGGAGGTGGCAGTGAGGGGGAGAGTAGCCATGGGGATGGCTCTGAGTTTGATGATGAAGGGATGCTGAGTGATGACCCTGAAAGCAGCAGGAGTGAGCAAGGACATTCCCGGATGAGCAGCGCTAGGATGAGGTCAAAAGAATCAAAAGGGGACCATGATCTCACAGGTACTCAGGATTCAGATGACAGCCAATCTGTGGAATTTTCAAGCAGCAAATCCTTTAGAAGGTCCCAGGTCTCTGAGGAAGACGACAGAGGTGAGCTTGTTGACACCAGTAGCAGGGAAACCCAGAGTGACTCCACAGAGGACACCACCTCCAAGGAGGAAAGCAGGAGCGAGTCTCAGGAGGACACCACCGAGAGTCAGTCCCAGGAAGACAGTACAGAGGGACAAGATCCTAGCAGCGAGTCCAGTGAAGAGGATGGGCCATCCCAGGAAAGCAGCAGTGAGTCTCAGGAAGGAGTGGCTGGTGAGTCCAGAGGTGACAACCCAGATAGCACAAGTCAGACAGGAGACCAGGAAGACAGTGAGTCCAGTGAGGAGAACAGCTTGAATTCGCTCTCCAGCTCAGAAAGTCAGTCTACAGAGGAGCAAGCTGACAGCGAGTCCAACGAGAGCCTCAGACTCTCAGAGGAAAGTCAGGAATCAGCCCAGGATGGGGACAGTTCCAGCCAGGAAGGCCTCCAGTCTCAGAGCACTTCAAGGGAGAGCAGGAGCCAGGAGAGCCAGTCTGAGCAGGACAGCCGTTCTGAGGAAGAGGGTGACAGTGACTCTCAGGACAGTAGCAGATCCAAAGATGATAGCAACTCTACAGAGAGCACTTCAAGCAGTGAGGAAGACAGCCACCCCCAAAACATGGAGGCTGAGAGTAGGAAACTAACAGTTGACGCTTATCACAACAAACCCATCGGGGACCAAGATGACAACGATTGCCAAGATGGCTACTAACATTAGCCTTGTCTAGCAGATGGCTCTCACAGGAGAGGTTCTTAGGGGCCTAAGAGTAGGGAGTTCACTACAACTATAACTTATTGATGTTTTGATTAGACGTAAAACCAGGGCCATTTCTTTCCATGAGAAATTGTTCAAAGCTATACTGTTTTCTAGGGAGCCACCCACTCCCTAGAAGTTTAAGTAAATATGGCATGATGTAAGAACAGGCGCAGTGAAAGTACACTGTAGCTTCATAGGTGAAAGTGCCCTGACTCACTAACCCAACAATTATTGGGGTTCTGTTAAGTACCAGGCACAGTCCTAGGTGCTGGGGATGGGAGGGTGCTTCAGGCTCACTTTTGTTTCTGAGGAGCAAACATTTAATGAAAACACCAAAGGGTACTGATGAAGGGAGCCCACGCCATGGCGGAGGGATGCATAGAATGTACAGATTCACAGAAGGGTGGGGACCAACTTTGCTTTGGAGAGTTAGAGGGTTTCACAGCAGGAAATTGGGAGTTGGAGGGTTATCGAGAATTTCTCAATTGAAGACAATATAATTCTATTTATTCTTGAGATAAATGGCATTAAATCTTATACAGTTAAATGTTCAGTTTGTAAAAGCATTCTCAAATGATGGCACAATGGGAAATCTTGGATAAACATTTTTTTCCCAATTCATTTACTGCATCAGTGTGTTTGTGGGCCTTCTGTAAACACTGCCTTATTGATGATGATATGGGTAATTTGGTGGGGTGGGGAGGCGGGAGAAAAAATAATTTTAACAAGGATATATAGCTTCATTTTTTCCAAACTATCCCCTGAGTCTTTTACATGTGTTGAACATAGCAAAATTCTGTACATAGGACTCGACTGTTTTTTTGTTTTTGTTTTTTTGTATTTTTTTCTCGAGTGCTATTGAAGTGTTACCTCATGAAAAATTCTTTGTTTTGTAATAAAGATAATAATACCCAGAGGAATTGTGCACTTATTTGTTACAGTACCTTTGATTATTGGGATGTATTCATGGTAGACAATCCTTTCTTTGAAACATTTCCAATTATTTTGTTTTATGTGATTAAGATAAAAATATTTTCTTAAATCACTTCATGAAAAATTTCCTTGTAACTAAGGTAGCAGTGTGAAGTTGAAGAGGGCCAGAGAGACAGTTTATTGGTTAAGAGCTTATCAGGCTCCTGTAGAAGACCCAAATTTGGATCCCAGCACCCACCCTTGGTGGCTCACAACTGCCTGCAACTCCATCTCCAGTGTGGTGCTTTCATGCCTCTAACCTCCAAGCACCTCTGCACTCATGGGCACATACCCCTCACCCCACACCCACATACACATAACTAAAACTAAAAATACATGTTTTGATAGTCCATTAAATACACCTGCTATATAGATAAGGAGGAGCGATTCTATTCTTAGCTTTGGTATGAGGCCACATCAGAAACTTGTGATGTTTGAGATCAGTATTAGTTCTTACTATTCTTTCAAATGCTCATCTGCGTATTCTAGAAGGTGCAGGAAAACAAAATCCTTAAGCATTTGTGTCTGGGAGGGGAGCAATTTCACCTCAGCACTTCCTGCTTGCCTCTGTGTTTACCTTCCAATTTCCCCACCATTGTATTAAGGGAATCCAGACTTTGGTCTGATCCCCCTTATCTGTCCCTCTCAAGATCAAAGCTGTGTTCCCTTGAGGGTATATACATTCATGTGTATGCACATCTAAATATACATGCATGTTCTCTAACCCTTCCCTTTGAGATTACAATTCAGTGGGTCTGGAGTATGACCTGGAATCATTCTGCTATAGCCCACCCATGCTTGTATGTCTGGGTTCTAGGTTCTTCATAGTGATTTTCAGGGTTCCTGAAAGCTCTCAGCTCCTTCAGAGATAATTGTCCAAATTTTGGGCCTCTTAGGTGCCTGAGGCATAGGTGACAGTATTTTGGAAATTCATCAAAACAGTTTAATATTTATACACACACACACACACACACACACACACACACACACACACACACACACAGAGAGAGAGAGCTCTCTCTCTCTCTCTCTCTGTCTCTCTCTCTGTCTCTCTCTGTATACATATATTGTAAGACCCCCAGAAGCTCAGGCCTCCAGGATCTCAGCCCAGGACCTCGGTCACCCCAATCACCAGGCAGATTCGAAAGCTTGATGCAAACTGCATGAGGCTTTATTGTTGTTTAACGAGCTAACTCCATGTTAGCTCGGGCCTTCCATCCATCCACCATGGCGGATGGCTAGGGAAGACAGCTCGAAGCGTCTGCATAGAGATCTTATAGTGCAACGTAAGGGGAATGTCTAGGGGTATGCACAGGCTCAGGATTGGTGTGCCTCCAGGCTTGGAGAGTTTGCCCTGTGTTGATTGGTCAACTGGTTGTTATGGGGGGCAAGCATCTGACCTTAGTCACCAAGACAAGGTCAGGCAAGTGCGTGTCTGGCTGTTATAGCTGCCGAAATGGGGAGCTGGTCCCTTCAATACACACACACACACACACACACACACACACACACACACACACACACACACAGAGTATAAGGATAAAACATGCATCTGTATAGGCAGAGAACATGTGAATGTATTTGTAATTGCATAATATTCTATTGCTTAACTCAAATATTGAGTATCTTTATTTACTAGCTGAAGATTGTTAGACCCCCCAGAAAACTCAGGTATCCGGGGTCCCAGGCCATGACAGCGGTCACCCCAATCACCAGGCAGATTCGAGAGCTTGCTGCAAACTGCATGAGGCTTTATTGTAATTTAACCAGCTAACCCCAAGTTAGCTCGGGTCTTTTGTCCACTCACCATGGCAGACGGCTACAAAAGACAGTTTGAACTGGCTGCCGAGAGATCTTGTAGGGCAG